CAATGTTAGTATAGGTCAGTTGACAAGTTGAACAGCAAATATCCTGAAATGATACCAAAGTATTTGAAATTGATATACATTGTTATTAACATGATTTATAAGGTGATATATTGATTTGAAATGAATTAGAAATGTTTTCATTGATATTCTAATTGTTTAATGGGTTGGGTTTGGAAACGTGTGTTTTCAAGCTATTCGAAAGTAGTAACGATTTCGATATTCCGTTAGTTTGCGTCACTTTGCGGACGGACTTATATTCAATCAATTTGGTTGTCATTCATATTGATGCGTAGAATTTTTGAGAGTATTTTTGAATGTACGTTATTTTTATCTACGCATGAATGAAAAGTACAACAATGATCAAGAGGAATTGAGTCATGAGTATGATACTTTCTCAGATTGTTCTACGCATCAAGAGTATTCGATTCAGGATTCTATTCATATATGATATTTGTTATAAATATATTGAATTGGATGAGATGGAGTTGGGTTTGGGTTTGGGAGACTGCGGGCTAATTACATTACCCAGATTTGTTGTTTAAATATTGGGATATTGAATTTTTCAGATATCGTAATAGACTTCAATTACTACATTATCGTACAGAAATTCAGTTCTAATTCACTGAACTCATTGAATGGGAGCTTTTCAAAAACAGGTCATTTTTCAGTAAGGTAAAAAAAATGACATTATTGACATTTTTACCTGTCTACATCAATATTTGAATAAATTGAATGCTGTTTGCCAATTTTAGGTTGGGTTTGGGTTTTGGGTTTGGGTTTGGGTTTGGGTTTGGGTTTGGGTTTGGGTTTGGGTTTGGGTTTGGGTTTGGGTTTGGGTTTGGGTTTGGGTTTGGGTTTGGGTTTGGGTTTGGGTTTGGGTTTGGGTTTGGGTTTGGGTTTGGGTTTGGGTTTGGGTTTGGGTTTGGGTTTGGGTTTGGGTTTGGGTTTGGGTTTGGGTTTGGGTTTGGGTTTGGGTTTGGGTTTGGGTTTGGGTTTGGGTTTGGGTTTGGGTTTGGGTTTGGGTTTGGGTTTGGGTTTGGGTTTGGGTTTGGGTTTGGGTTTGGGTTTGGGTTTGGGTTTGGGTTTGGGTTTGGGTTTGGGTTTGGGTTTGGGTTTGGGTTTGGGTTTGGGTTTGGGTTTGAGT